GCCCACGCGCAGATCCACCCCGCGGTACAGCACTAGACGTAGCAGGACCAAAAAGCGATGAACCTTGTGGTGTAGGACCAGGTGACATACCAGGAGGAGACGTACCGTCATTCGTTTCAGGAGGGTTTACTCCCCCAGGCGAGACAGGGCTACCTCCCGTAGGTGTACCACCAGAAGTCCTAGGCGCGTCGTCGGTGGGAGGAGTTCCTGCAGGACGAACCCCAAGGTCAAGATTGGTTGTCTCACGGATTTGCTCGAGAAGCTCAATCACAGGTATGTCCCCGACGTCATGATCAGGAGAGAGCGAATCAACTGAGTGGTTGAAAGTGTAGTTTCGCACGTCTCTTAACATGTCGTCGTGGTTGTCGTACGTGAACTCCCCGTCGTCGAAGCCACCCTCATCCAACGCAGGCGTAACGGGAGGTGTCTCAATGAAGACAACATTTGGACTCACCCGTGCACGTCGCGTCTCAGAGTTGTAGATTCGGTACGACTTGCTGTTCATGCTGCATCCGACACGGCGTCCTTCCCAAGCACAGTGCTCCAGCTTCCTGGTGTGGGTCTCTTCGTGCACGAACGCCCTTGACCCTATCACCCGAAGGTGACCAAGGTAGGCATCCTTGCCGTAGAGCGCCTTGTACGGCGTCCCGTTTTGCAGGGCTGCATGAGGAACCCGGTTGCTCAGGAAGGCTGCCGTCTGGATCAGCTCCCCCCAAAGGAAGTTCGGTGGAGTTGAGTTAGCGAGCAGACAGCGCACGACATTCAAAATCGTCCGACCCGCACGCTCGTTGGCTCCGATCTGTGTTCGGAGAGGCGAACTCCAGCTTGATGCCGATGTCTTGACAGTACTGACGGAATTCCGCACTCGTGAATTCTGTGCCCTGATCCCCACGGAGGTAATGAATGCGTTCTCCGGTATGAACCACGGTCCCTTTGTTGAGCAACGCGAGGGAGTCTACAGAACAGGTCTTGTCCTTCATGAGCACTATCTCCGCCCACTTTGTCTGCTGGTCCACGAAGTTGGTGGCGTACTTGAATCCGCCCAACGCTGTAGGTGTGGAGGGGCCAAGGGTGTCGACGGAAACGTGCTGGAAGGGGCGCAGGACGCCGTAGGTGGCCTGCTTCGGGTGAGGTTGTTGTGCGCTCTTTCCGAGCGGGCAGACACTACAGTCCTTCACGTCTCCGGTGTAGTCGACGCCGTGGACCGGTTCTTTCCTTAGAACGTCCAAGCTCTTGCCGTTGATGTGCCCCATGTGCCGGTGCCAGAGATCAGCGGACTCCACCTTCAAGGCGAGGGCATCAGGCGCGTCTCCGAGGACCGTCGGGCCCCCAGGTTCACGCCCTAGCTTCACCTCGATGGAGTAGATGCGTTTTCCGGTCGTGGCGTCCACCCCGAGGGTCTGCATTGGGAAAACCACGTCCCCTGAATCCAACCTGGTGTTGTCCGGATGAAACAACGTCGCCACCCCTTTTAGCATCGCCAATGTCACGGAGAAGAGGTTGGTGCCCGGCCCTGGTACCAAGATGACGCGAAAGAGGACGTGCCGCTCGTTCCCATTGTCGTCCGTGACGGCGCCGACGATAGTCCCCGTCGCAACGCCTTTGAGGACATGCTGGCCCGCGGCGACGANATCCAACCTGGTGTTGTCCGGATGAAACAACGTCGCCACCCCTTTTAGCATCGCCAATGTCACGGAGAAGAGGTTGGTGCCCGGCCCTGGTACCAAGATGACGCGAAAGAGGACGTGCCGCTCGTTCCCATTGTCGTCCGTGACGGCGCCGACGATAGTCCCCGTCGCAACGCCTTTGAGGACATGCTGGCCCGCGGCGACGATCGTGTGTGGGACCCGAAGGTGTTCGACGTCGGAGCGAAAAGGAGCAAACGACAACTCTGCGTGAGTCCCCATGAAGGCACCGAAGCACCCTGACGGCAGTCGGTGGTCCTGCGCACTCGACGTTGATGAGGAAGCTGCCGGTGCCGGCTGTGTGGCGGCAGACGCCGCCGGAGGTGGCTGGGAAGAGGCAGACGACGAGGTTGCCTCTGCCAAGGAAGTTTCGAGGGCGTTGAAGGAGAACCCGAACGAAGTCGGCTCTGACGGAGCCTGTTGAGCCACCGCCGGAAAAGATTGCGACAGGTGAGCACTCCCGTTATTGGAGAGTTACAGAAAGTTGGCATGGCTAGCTTACTGCAGGAGCGCCAGGTTCGCTGCCAACCCTTCAAGCTCCTTCTGCTTGTTTTCCTGGATCTCCTTTTGCTTCTGGCATTCAGCATCGCTGTGTGTCTTGGTGTTGTGGTAGGAGCACCACTTTGGCTGTGCACTCCCACCATTTCCTCGCTTGTTTGCTCCCTTCTTCTTGCTCTGTGTAGGACGGCTCTTTTGGACCTCTTGCGGACAATTGCGCTGAAAGTGTCCGTACGCCTTGCATCGGCGGCACTGGTCGGTATCGGACGCGACCGCCATCGCAGCCCCTCGGCCCGAGACCACAGGGCCCGACGCGTTGCGCGACTGCTGATCCACAAAAAAGCGGTTAGCTGTCGCCTGGAGACTGTCTACTGAAGTAAAATTGTCACGGTAGTGCATCTCCCTGATGAACTTGAACTCCGGGGCCTTGGTCAGGCCTGAGAGCATGATGTCCAGGTAGACTGGGTCCGACACTTCCTCCTCCAGAACAGGCGACCGTTGGCCTTGTCCCACGCGGCCACATCTTCCGCGTTCGCCGCGGTCGCCGAAGGACGCGCGTTTCCGTTGAGGGCGGGGAGAAGCTCCGGCGCGTGGAGGATGATTGCTTGTCGAAGCTTGATCTTCCACTAGCGAAAACCCGAATGTCCTGCGCATTTCCCAACGGAGTCCAGCATGCGGTGGAGCCCGGAGCTCGATATTTCCGCCATCACTGAAACCAGGGTCACACGCGAGCGTAATACGGTTTTCAGCACGCGTAAGACGCCTCGATTACCTGCGAAGGTTCGACGCGCCAGGACAAAGCGGTGCTATGCTACACAGAAATAGGCTTGGTGCAGGTCGCAGCGTTGTAGCGTACAACCCACGTCCAGCGGAAGCGATGTAGTGTCCGCTCGGACTACTGCTCTACTACGAGCATAGCTATGACCTACCGCAGGTGGCTAGGCTGCGGTGTTGCGACGACGAAGTTGCCAACTCCGGCCTCATCCTGCAGGCACACGGGTCAGATGTACTGCTTAGACTTGCTACGCGTCTTTCAGCGCAGACTTTTGGCTGCTGCACGGATGCAAACAGGCCTGGTCGGATCCTCAACCTGCACTCGCACCGGTATACACACAGTGCGCGTAAGATATCTTGGACAGACCTACCTCGCGTATAGCACAACGCGCAGGTAAATTTACGTGAGCGGATCACGTGGGTGTAGCTGTAGCAGCAGTGGGCTACCAGCTAGCAGTCGTACCCTCAGCCTGCACACGCTACCAAGCTTGGCAACTCAGCACGTGGGAGATATCTTGGACAGACTATACGCCTCGCGAAGGACCATGCTCAGGCGGTTTTGGTAGTTAGTTGAAAACACACAGAACACCAAGGACGGCACTCCACACGCAGAACCAACTACCTGCACAACTCTATTCGCCGACCGAAATCAACGCCTAGAAATTATGCTCCCGAATGCTTTACATAGCAGTATCGTACCGAAATGTGCAGCCAAGAACCCAGCCAGGTGATCAGTCCGGTCCCAATATGCAAGCGGGTTGACTCAGTGTGACCTCCAGCAGAAAGCAGACGGTAGCTCCCCGTGGAGAATACCCAACCTGGTAGATGTGTGTGTTCTCCACAGTGCTCGACTCCGGCAGGAGACGCAGAAGACGCAATCGCCGCAGGCCTCCAGTCACACACAACCGTGGCACATGACCTATTATGGATATTATTATGTAATACCCTGGCACAGCAGTGGTGTAGAGGCTGTGTCGTCGACGTTAGTCGAGGTGATGACACGTGCGAGAGGGTAGCCTGGAAGACGAGAGTCCTTCCGCGGAGTGAAGAAGATGTTGAGATATTGGAACACTGGCGCTTAGGTGGCCAACACAATCCGGAAGGATCACACGATAGAGTGAGCTACTCGGTTACAGTACCAAGCACCACGCAGAGAATCCTGCGAGAGTAATTCCTCCGCATACACATACGTACACGTTACATTCGAACCGACATTCGAACCGACACAAATGAGATCTACGATTGCAAGAGCAGTGCTACTTGCTGAACATTGACTCATACTGGCTACGTGAGAAACTTTTCCATCACACACTTGTTTGACGTGGTGGAAGTAGTGGTGAAAACGGACTTAGAGGAAAGCCTATGGCTTAAGGCACCTGGGGAGCGGGGTGAGAAAGATTTGTTTCTAGGGAAGGTATACGTCGAACCGGCGTCGAAGAAAGTCGCAAGCGAGGCGCAAGAGAACTTTGGACAAATTGGGGAAGATGTCCAGAGGTTCAGTAGTCGGGAGAAGTTAGTTGTCATGGTGGGCGATTTCAACTCCAGAGTAGGGAAAGCTTCCACTAGAGGACAGGCGATCGGGCAGCACGGAGAAGACAAAGTGAATGACAACGGAGTGAGGATGCTTGAATTCTTGGGAAGCAACGAACTGATGGTGTTGAACGGTAGGAGGGAATGCGATAGACTACGCCGGAGTTCACCAGGCAACGGGCAGTTTGCAATGAATACTCGATCCTA